GAGATTACTGAAGGAAAAAGAGTTGGAATTGCTGGAACGTCCATCTATATTTATTTATTTATTTTTATAAATTATAATTACATATATTACACAACAAACATAAGGAGTGAGAATAATTATCCGATAAATATTAACAAATTGATGGTCCCACATAGGGTATCTTGGAGTGGTGCTCGGGTAGGCCATTGTTGGAAAACTCTCCTTGAGTAGGTGTGTCTTTTGGAGTGGAATTTTGAGGTGTGTTGAGTCTCCTCTAGGTCCTTATTAGTTAGTGGTTGAGTAAAGTAGGAGGTCGATGACTACGATCCTTAACCAAGTACCTGGAAAACTTGTGTGATTCCTTGAGGATGGTTAGTGGGTTAACTTCACATGTGACTTGGTAATGTATGCTAAGGTCGTGGTACACCTATAACCAATTATATCAGTCCTAATTGTTGAACTAGACTTCCCTAGTGAAATTGATGAGACTCGAGAAACTAGAAGAGGGATTGATATCCTATTTTGCTATGATTGAGTTGACACTTTGGACATGAAAATGATTGGATTGGTTCAATTAGGTGAAAATCACTTAGACTGCTTATGTTGTTAAGAGATTTTCGTAGGTGAATGCGTGACGACATTAGTTAATATATTTGCATATGATGAGTGTTTAGGTGTGTTCATATGCATTGTTGATGTCTTGTGTGACATGATTTGGGTGAGATACATGTTTGCTTGGAGTGTTGTAGCTTTCATGTATGATTGTGATTATTGTTTTCTATATGTATACCTTTTCAAACTCTAACTTACCCTTTCTATTTTCATGGTAGTTTTGGACTGTGATGATCATATGATGTATGAGAACAAATTGAGACTAGGCTTAAAAAGTTACTATGGACAAATGATGCAGTCTTTTGTTGATAGCGATGTTAATGCATGTAGCTTATAAATGTGTTTGATCGGCATTAGGACATGAAATTATGTGAGATTACTGTATACATCTATATATTCTGTTTATATTAGTATGATTATTTTACTTATATATTCATGTTATATATATGTGTGTATATATATATATATGTATGTCATATTTTTTTTTCCTTAATCATGTATGTTATAGTAGTATAGTTTCCACTACTAGTAGTAATTCCGTTGAGTATAATAATCATAGCGGATCGTAACAGTAATTAACATATTAAAATTATGAATTTAATTTAAAAATAAAAATAAGATAATTAATTAATATATTAAAAGATATTGTCATATCATACCATTCAGTCGTAGACAAAATTTTAATAGTATAAGTGGTAAATAATTTAATTACAAAATATTTAAATTGTAAAAAAATTACACTCACGCCACTTACGCGTTCCTGGGAAATGAACGGTCGCGACACATGTCACCTCAACGAGCAAACGTACGCGAGAGGTCATCTCCCCCTAGCAAGCTCGGCCTCAACTCCTCGACCTATGGTCTTCGGAGCTAAGTCACACACAGGCACTCCCAACATAGCAACACAGGCATAGGAAATAAAAGAATGGGAAGCCCCAGAATCAAACAAAAGCATCACATCCTTACCAGCAACCTTGCCCTTCCCCTTCATTAGGTCAGAAGAAGTTGAAGCCTCAACACCCGTCAAAGCGAACACCCTACCAGCTGTAGTGGGTCTGTCACCCCTCTGAGTCTCAGTCCTCTGCACACTACTCCTCTGAGTATCAGCTCTCTGCGCATCACTCCTCTGAGTACTCCTCTCCGGTCTACTCCTGATGGGACAGTTGAAAGACACATGGCCCATCTGCTGACATCTGAAACATCTGCTCTCAGTGTGTGGACAATCCTTGATCAAATGGGATCCACCACACCTGTAACACCTAAGGGCAGCACCTCCACCCTGTCCTCCTCTTCTGGTAGTCTCAGCAGGTTGCCTGATGACAGGACCCCCTTGCTGTGGCTGGGGCCTATCATACGGCTTCCTCTGACTTCCACCTCCCCTCTTGGACCCAGCTGGTCCCTTAGTAGCTCTGATCACACGGTTACCCCTTTCCAACCTCTCCACAATCTTCGCCTTCTCTAATAAGGCCGGAAACTCGGTGATGGCTATAGGCACCACCACCTTCTTCAACTCATACTTCAGACCCTCAGCAAACTTTTTGCACTTCCAGGCCTCAGAAATAGCCTGTGAATAAAAACAAGCCAAGTGCTCGAACCTCATCGCATACTCCGATACAGATAGCCCTCCCTGGTGTAACCGCATGAACTCCGCCTCCTTCGCGTGCCTCACGCTCTCCGGGAAATACTTTTCCATGAACACTATCCTAAAGCACTCCCAGTCAACTGTAACTCCTCTCGCCACAAGCATATGATAAGTGCCCCTCCACGAATGTTCGGCCTCTCCCACAAGCATATACACAGCATATGCCAACCTCTTCTCTAGAGAACATCCCAGTACGGCAAAAATCTTCTCCAACTCACATATCCAGCGGTCAGCTGCCTCTGATCTGCATCTCCCGCAAACTGTGGAGGATGACACTTCCGGAACTCAGCTAGGTCCCAGCTCTCCTATGACCCCGTGGGCCTTGCTGCACCAGTTGCAGCTCTTTCAGCCTCTATCCTAGCAAAATAAGCATTTTGCTGCTGTATAGCCATAGTCATCATCTCTATGGCACGTACTATCTGTTCGTTGGTTCTAGTCATCGTCTACAAAAATAACAACATATTCAGTATACTACCACTCAACCCAACAATAACTAACAACACAACAATTCATCACATCAATCAACACAGCAAACAACACAACAGGACAGCACAACACAAAGTTAACACAACAAAAGCCTAAAGGAACCACCCCCAAAGAGTGTCCACTAGACTCGAACTACTCTGATACCACTAAAGTGTAACGACCCGGCTGGTCACTACATTCCCAACCACAACACACCGGAAACACTAGACAGAATAGAACGAGTATATAAATATAGGATCTAGAATATAAATATATAAAAATGTCTCAATCTGGCTAGAGTTAGGGTGTACAATTCAAAAATACATCCAAAGCCACTGTATCAAGCGGCTGAAAACAAACAAAAACATCAAAAGGAGTCAGCTCCGCCTGCCAGCTACAGACTCACCACTAGCCACCACCTATCCCTGCTTTGCTCCCATACATAGTATGATCATCGCAGTCCAACAAGGATAAGCTAGCATAAAAAGGAACAACATATAGGAAGATTTAAGTAATATGAACATCTACAACTATCAATACATCATCAACATACATTCCATCGATTTTACAGCATAATCATCAATAAGCATATAATGCATTATCACGCATATCAACTCGGAGATCTCCTACAACAACTCAGCCTTTCGGCCTACATCAACTCAGCCTTACGACCTACAACAACTCAGTCTTGCGGCCTACATCAACTCAGCCTTGCGGCCTACATCAACTCAGCCTTACGGCCTACAACAACTCAGCCTTGCGGCCTACATCAACTCAGCCTTGCGGCCTACATCAACTCATATCAACATACAGCACAACACAACTTTACAACTTTACAGCTCAACATATCAACAAGCAGCGTTAACCACCAGTCATCACATTATAATCAACAACTTCTACTTAAACTCAACATAAACAACCTCTAACATGCATTAGTGAAATCACATCTCCGCGCCCGGCGCACTCGTGGTTGCACCCAGCGTGGTGCAACCAGAGAGCACTAAGGCTAACGCGCCCAGCGCAAACATGCCTGCGCCTGGTAGGACTCAGCCAGAGAGCCCAAGGCTTACATGCGCCTGGCACAATACCAATTGCGCCCAGCGCAGACCAGGCAGAGACTCCAAAGAGTCCCATGCGCCCAGCGTGCCCAAACTCGCGCCCGGCGCGGGGTAGGTAGAGACCTCCCTTGGTCTCACGCCCAGTGCAATTCAAATTGTGCCTAGCGCCCACAAGGCAGAGACTCCCAAGGAGTCTCACGCCCAACGCGACAAGGATCGCGCTCAGCGCCATACCAGAAGTACAAAATCAAGTCACAATCGATATCGCACCTGGCGCGGTTCGAGTCCTGCCCGGCGTGGGCCATCCAGAGGCTAACATCCTCAAGCCCGCCCAGCGCATACATCTTTGCGCCCGGCGGCTTGCCTAAATGCTGCCCTCGGGTGGCCACGCGCCCGGCGCGAAGAACTACGCTAAGCGCGAACTCAGCCGCAGACCTCCCTATTTTTGAAAATCTCATCAGAACTTGCAAAACAACCAGGAAATTCCACATGCAATCCATTCCAGATATCACATTTCCATCAAACATCTCAAAAATACCGCCTTTTTCAACATGCAACAACAAATCAAGAAATCCCCAAATTTTTCCTCAAATCCCCGAATAACCCCGAAAACACTTCCTTCGAATTTTAGCCAAGAATCAGTTATTCACAGTCATCCAATGAGTACTAAGACTCAATTTTCAACTCAAAATGCACAAAAGTCTAGCTTCCCTTACCTCGGTTCAACAGCTTCGAGCTCCGGGAAGAGGAGGACGAAAGAGAGAACGAAAATGGCTTGAACGAATGAGAAAGGAGAAGGAAGAAATTCGCACACCCCAGCTAGCAATCTAACTACTCAGCACCTAAGCTCATCCAAGAAGGAAGAATCAACAAATGAGTAGGAAGAGTTTGAGGAAGAATGAGTGAATGAGAGAATGAGAATGAAAATGAGTATGGGGGAAGAGGGGAAAAAATAAGAACGGGTCTCACAATCGTTGTAGATCAACATTTTTAAATTGTGAAAATTATTAAAGTGAGTTTATTATGTGTCAACATGTTCTCTATAGGAATTATGAATTTAAAAACTTAATTATTATATGGTAACTTATTAACCGTATATTTGGTTTATTGTAAAATATTTTTAAATATTGTTGAACGTGAAAGTAAGAAATTATTATTTTTTATTTTTTTTATTTGAAATCATTTTAAATGATAATCTACACAAGCACTAATTAGTTTAAACTTAATAATGAGTTTGGGTGGGTATGTATGCACTATGCTGTAAACCCTATTCGTACTTGGTCAATGGTCACTTGTTGAGACTACTGAAACACTATGCTGCAATTATGAGTGTTGATAGTGTAGTCATTTTCAACAGCCAAAAGGACTAAAAACGAGGCTAGAGTTTTGGGAAATTGGATTTTTTTATATAAATATTAATAATAGGGTGATAAATATTATGGATATCTTGCATTAAAAAATATTATAATTAATGTACGCAGTAGCTAAACAAATTTATCTACACTGACTCGTGTTTAAAATACAAGTATGCACTATTTTATAGTTATCGCCTTTGAAACATTTCATAAATAATATTAAAAAATTTGTAGACTATACATACAAATATAAATTTGCAACGAAACAAGTTTTTTTTGGGCTAATTACTTGAAAACCAATTGGATCATTTTAATTAATGTGAATTTTTTTTGTTTTGTTTAGATACTTTAAAGTGTAACATCCTACATATCTCTATACATTACAATTTAACAACAATATAGTGAAAAACATACACATATTCTAGCTTAAAATTAACATACTAACGGTCTTTGAATATTTATATAATATATGATCAGGCTGAAGGTGAAAGTGAATATGCTGATGCCATAGCTGCTCAGGTGCGTCGTTTAGCAAATGAAGTTCGGCAGTTATCATCAAGCAGGCCAATCACAGTACTGAATGGGGGTTCTAGACAAAGTAATTTTTCATCCCTTGTCGTTCCAGCTGCTGCTATGGGCGCTTTGGGTTATGGTTACATGTGGTGGAAGGGTATTTCATTCTCAGATCTTATGTATGTGACTAAACGGAATATGGAAAAAGCTGTTGCAGATTTAACAAAGAAGTTGCAGCATGCCTCAGATGTCATTGCTGATGCCAAGAAGCATTTGACCCAGAGAATTCAGAATTTAGATGACAAAATGCTCAAGCAGAATGAGTTGGCACGATATTAAGGATGACAAAAATAATTACGCTAAATAAATTTGAATTTTTATCATTAAAATAATGTTTACGCAAATGAAATATATCAAGAGTACTAATCAAGTAAATGGTAATAATCCCCTCAAAAAAAAAAGTAAATGGTAATAATAATTATTATAAAATAATTAAACAACATAATTTAGCTTACTGAACCAAAATGTCTAATTTATCGTAACCAAGTTAAGTATAAATAACGTTAAGCCTCATAAAGTACCAAACATACAAGTTAAATTGATATCCCAAGTTTTGTCACTTAAATTAGGAAATCTAATATTTCTGTCATGGTAAAACAACTTAGATGTGAGCCTACCACGACATTAGCTTGCAACACTAAGGTTCGTATGAGATCATTCTATTGATTACCCTCCAAATATTACATTCTTCTAATACTAAGTTAAGGTTTAAGCCTTGACCTTGTGTCTTACTCGATTGGTCACTTCAACTATAATATGGATTGACCACACATCCATATTGTTTCACATAAATCCTAGAGGAAACATATGTATCTCAACTAAGACATGTATATCCACTACATGCTTAACAACTTGATTCAACTATAATATCATACAATTTTGCAACTTAATCATCTATTAGCTTACAGCTTGGCAACATAAATGTCACTACACATTATATCAACTTAATCATAATTCACCATATAATTTAATCATAATTCTTTAACTATTAATCAATTGAAAATATTACATTTTATCATAAAACTCACATCTGATGCCATTTTTATCACCCCTGACACTATTAAGATTGGGGCTTTCTATCTCGTTCACGTCTGACATCAATACACCCGTGCCTAGCATGGGTGAGATAGAGAACTTTGAGTCTCTCACGCCTAGCATGCAAAACTCCACATTCAACCTCAATCAAGTAAAAGGTTTCTGCCTAACTCACGTTCGACACCACAACATTAGCACTCAACATCAATTCAAGCAAAGACAATTTTCTCTTCTCATGTTTGACGCTATTCAAACTCACGACCGGTATGACTAAGTAAGAGGCAATTCTTTCTCTTTTCACGCTCGACAACACACCACCAATCCTATGTCCAACATAATGAGATTGAGAACCCCTAACTTGAGTCATGTCTGATACCATGAAAGCGTGCCCAACATATGAGAATTTCTACGGTCGATAGAACTTCATTTTGGTTTAATCCACCTGAAACCCAACAAATAACCAACACACAATATAGAATTCAACACTCAAGCACACTAAACAACTTGAAATCAACTCAATATACAACATGCAATCATCACATTCTAAGAATCATTACCTTCACCCATATACATCTCCAAGCACCAAAACTTAACAACTTATCCTCATTTCCTTTCCAATTTCAGTCTAAAACAATTATTAATGGAAGAATTCAATAACAAACATCAATCACAACACAAGAATCAACAAATCACAAGCTTCTCTTATCTTTAGTCGATCATCTGAGAAAAGATGAGGAAGAAGAGAAAGAAGACTTTGCACGACTCTTACTCAAAATCCTACTTCGAGAAGCTCAACTCTCCAAACAATCCACTTGAATCAACTATAAGGGAAGGTTGAAAGGGAGATTTAGTAGAAGAAGGTGAAGAAGAATTCTTCATATTTTCATAGAACTCTCTATAGCCTTTTTGTAAATTTTTTTAAAACATAAACTTATCAAGTTCATATCTTAAAAAAATCTTATATACCTTCTTTAAGTTGAGCTATTCTAACTCTGATTTTAGACTACCTTAGAGAGAACTTAACTCTCAAAATCTCTTGAATCTCAGAGCTCTAACACAACAACAATAGCAAAAACAACAATTAAATAAAATAAGTCAAAACACACAGTGTTACACCTCCTTAGTTTATCAGTGGACAAGATTATATTTTTTTATTCCAATTTGTTGCTCTGAAACAAAAATAAGTTTGATAAATACTTAAGTGAATTTATAAACTAAACAGATTATTTTAAAGATACATGTTGAGCTTTTATATATATATATATATATATATATATATATATCCATGCAACTTTAGCACATTCATCATACATAACATATCAATGATATACAACTTAATCATAATAGCATATTAAAGCCTATCATCATCATCATCATACATCATACAACATGTATCAATATACAATTTACTAAAATCAACTATAGTACAAAGACAACCTTCACATAACTCAACACAATTGGAGTTTCATTAATCCCATCAAACTCATCTTTATTTCATATGAAAGATAAAAAAGATTATGTAACGCCTAGTCGTATTAATACCAATATTATACACACATATATATATATATAGATAGATTGAAAATACAAGTGTATTATTAATAATATTATATGTGACAACAAAGAAATTTTTTTTACAGATAATATCTACAATGACGTACATAATTATAACTTTTTTATATCTCACATACAATTTTAATATTTACATTACATATTATTCTAAAAATATTTATAATACGTGTCTATTTACATACCATATTTTCTTTTCTACTATAAAATTTACATAGGTGGTTGAAATAAATTTACAATAGGATTAATATGATTTGCGAGAGGTAAATAAAAAGTAACAACTATAGGTCCATCTATCATAGTTGGAATTTCTTGGTTTGGAGAAAAGATGAATGAAGACATTGCTACTCCATTGAAGGTAACTGAGTTGGCTTAAGCGTCAACACTCCACGTTGTGTCAGAGAAAATTGCGGAGATTACTGAAGGAAAAAGAGTTGGAATTGCTGGAACGTCCATCTATATTTATTTATTTATTTTTATAAATTATAATTACATATATTACACAACAAACATAAGGAGTGAGAATAATTATCCGATAAATATTAACAATGACATAATATGCAAAGCAGAATTGGAATCTCCAAGATCCTCATCATAGCTGGAGCAAGTTACACCGGCACCGTCCTTATCAAAAATGGAAAATTGTCCGATTTGATCGGCGACCTTCAGTTGCTTGTGAAGGGATTGGAAAAATCTGGGGATCAGGCTGAAGGTGAAAGTGAATATGCTGATGCCATAGCTGCTCAGGTGCGTCGTTTAGCAAATGAAGTTCGGCAGTTATCATCAAGCAGGCCAATCACAGTACTGAATGGGGGTTCTAGACAAAGTAATTTTTCATCCCTTGTCGTTCCAGCTGCTGCTATGGGCGAAAATAAATTACTAGAAATATAATATCTTTTGGTGTGATTATAATTAAATCTTACACGCACACATATACAAATATCATATTACATAATATAAAGATCTTAAAACATTAAAATAACACATCAACAAATATTTAATTAAATAAACAATTCACAACACATTGTTACACAAATGGTAGGCCAACAAAGCATTGACATTAGGCTCCCTTAAAAAAAACATTTTATATTGATATTTATATAATTTTTTTAAAATTCCATAACTTAAAATCACTTTTTGCATTCTTAATAATTCACTTTAAAAGATGTATCTCTCAAAGATATTCAAATATAATTGTTTTTTTCAAAACACATCTCTTTAACGCTTTTTTTTAATCAAAAGAAGTTATTATAAATTTTAGAAAAACCTCTTTTTAAGATTTGTTTTTAAATAAAGCCCCATTAGAATTAAGAAGTTATAATAATATGTTGGACGAGTCATATTTCTTTTAGTTACTTTATTTTTAGTCATTAAATAAAGCCCCATTAGAATTAAGATGTTATACACATTGTATTTTAAGCGTATCGCCTTAGTTAAATAGTTACAAGAACATAGTTGTTCCGGCCATGGGGTACGCTAGGGTTTTCTGCCTAGGTCGCCTCAAAGCCAGAGCATTCAAAAAGTGTAATCTGTCGTCCTAGTTCTAGGGTTTTAGGTTTTATACTTTTGTGTTTATGGGCTTCGTGGACCCCGCGATTTTCGGGATTCTCCTTAACCGCTCTTATCCTGAAGCCAGGGGAGTGAGTGGTTGTTAGTCAAATCGGTATTTTACCGAGAATGCCTTTACAAGGGGACCTGTCGGGAGAAAGGCGTATCCCCTCTCGGGTGCATGTAATTGGTGTTATAGCCGAGTTGCCACACCCTGTGACGGTCCAGTCGGGTGTTAGACGAGTAGAGGGTCTAGTCGGGTTTTTACCTAGACGATATGCTAGTCGGGTTTTTACCTAGACGGTACACTAGTCGGGCTTTTACCTAGACGGTATGCTAGTCGGGTTTTTACCTAGACGGTACACTAGTCGGGCTTTTACCTAGACGGTATGCTAGTCGGAAGACGACCTGGACAGTCCACTTGCCCTTCAGCCCTGAGCCTAAAAGGCGATAGGGCTCAAGACATGGCCACCTGGTCGGTTATTTGTCAAGAGGAGGGTCGCTAACGTCCTATGACCGAGAAGGGAATCAGGTCGGAAAACGACCTGAACGGTCCACTTGCCCTTCAGCCCTGAGCCTCATGAGGCGAGAGGGCTTGAAGTCGAGTTGTCATGTTTCCGAAGATCCCATTAGGCAGAAGCCGAGTGACCCTCCTTATAGGTGAGTGGAGTTGGGTTAGGGGCGAGTCAAACGGAGAGACCAACTCGGTCGTGGGCCAAGCGGCATCCGATCCAAAAGAGATCAAGTCGGGCCGTTACCTGGATGGCACACTTGAGTCGTTCCGAAAATAAACTGAGAGAACGTCTCGGCCATTAGCCGAGACGGTACATTTGTTTTGACAAGTCATGTCTCTTCACCTTACTCGAGGTGGGACATGAGCTGTTGCAGATTTAACAAAGAAGTTGCAGCATGCCTCAGATGTCATTGCTGATGCCAAGAAGCATTTGACCCAGAGAATTCAGAATTTAGATGACAAAATGCTCAAGCAGAATGAGTTGGCACGATATTAAGGATGACAAAAATAATTACGCTAAATAAATTTGAATTTTTATCATTAAAATAATGTTTACGCAAATGAAATATATCAAGAGTACTAATCAAGTAAATGGTAATAATCCCCTCAAAAA